AGAAATGATTTATGGAGCTGTGTTGTTCCCGGGGAAGAGCACAATGAATCAAATGGAAGTGAGTCGATGCAACCCACTAGGCCTTTCCCATCCGATTGCGTTCCTACAGACTGGGATTCTCCCCTGAATTAATGACATTTTCTTGTCCAGCTTTACATCGAAAATTTTGGTTTACCGACTGACTATGAAGTTTCCGCAATGAATGCCTCTAAGAGCAAATGGAAAGAAGTTAAATCAGTAAGTATTCGTCATGATTTGCAAAGATGAGATCTTTTCCCTGATAAAATCATTTTTACCCGAACATTTTCTTTGGATTTATTTTCAGCGTTACGCTCATAAAGACTCTTCAAAAAAATTCAGCAGGGTAAGAAATATTTCTATCCTCGAAACAATAATAAATTTTTCCTTCCACTCTACGAGTTCCGATGCGCTGTACTTCAATAATCTTCTCCCAAAAATGGTGAGCCTGATTCAGAAAGTGGGCAACTTATGTACCGTGGGGAGACGCAGTACCATAGTCAGTGAAACGTTATCTTCGATACGGTCACACGAACGGGGGATTCCTAGCTATTACAGTTGTCTCCCTGGAGGCATAGTGTTCAGGAGCAACGCGACTTACAAAAGTTCAGGTTTCCAAGCTCTTCAAAAGCTCCTACTATTATAGAACATCTTCAATAGACAAACTTTGCCTCACCTTTTTTGCCACCTGAGCAACTTAGCAACCCCCTCTATGCGCTCATCCAAAACATCTTACCATTCAGTAACATCCATCTAGGAGGGTAAGGTTTTTCGGTGTTTATCAATCCCGTTTTGGAATTAGCTCCCCATTATACTCTAAGCGGGTATCGTACTAGGGTTTTATTAAGTAGGTGCCCTACCCCTACGCAGATATACAAATCTAACCATCAGGGTTCTAACTTCTATCCTTCTTCTTCTCCATGTACCACACTTACAGACCATCAATTACCTCGGAATAGAGCATGGAAAACATGGTACAAGACCGAACAATAGCATTCACTCAGTAGAACACTTTTAAGAGTTTCTATTCAGATGTTCACTATCTCACAAGACTGTCCTGCAGAAGCTGTTGCAATTTTGGGAAGAATGCTTGTTTATGTTCCGACAAGTCGTCTGCATGGACATGAATTGCTGAGTGATCCATTTTTCAAGGATATTTTTGATAAAACCTCGCGACGACCTTGTGGCAAGCCTATTGGCTGTTTAAGCATCGATGTAAGCTCTGTTTTCACTACTGAATGTTTATAGTCAGTTTACATGCCATGGTCACCGGAGCGAATGGAAAAAAATCCCTTTTCCCTTTGCCCTTTTCCCCGAAAAGAAGCCCATGGTCGAACTTCCGAAAAGTGTATAATGCTTGATCTCATCTAAATGCCCAGACCGAGTTGTAGGCTAGAAAAGACTGTAATCGTGATTGCGATTTCCTTGCTACTGCTCCACTTATCTCAACAATCCCCAAAACGGTGGGACCTGCTTCGAGACCATCGTCATCACCCCATCTCCACCCTGGACACTCAAAGTTTCAGAGGTCTGGGAGTATTTAGTCCCATCACATGGTTAGATTGATTCCTCGAGAATGATGGAAACTTCAATTTTTCAGGTTATATAGAGTCATTTTTCTTTTCAGGATATCTGTAGGTAACTTAAGTACTGTACGAATCATTGCAGGATTACATCGAGGCTATGTCAGGGGACCGTTCGATGACAGGATCTTTTCTGTGAAATCAGTGACGAAACACCAATAATTGATCAGATTAATGCAGTAATATGAAACATTTAATAATAATTGTATATAGTTCATTCTGATTTTCTGTATCTTAACCAGATATCCTTCGAAAGAAACCGTGACGACAAAGAGTCGTCATTCCTGGCCAAGCAAGCTGGCTACGGAAGGTTACATATAGGTAATTTGAAAGATTGCCTTTAAAGGGAGGTCTTTTAAGACAGATGGAACCTTTTGTGTGTAAGCCTGAGCCCGGTAGACTCCTTCCTCAGCCATGAAAAGCTTAAATCTAATTGTAGCCCAAGAGCGAGGGCAGGTAGAGCTACTCCAGAGTATAAAGGTGTTGTAACTGAAAAGTGTACTCAATTCAAGCGGCCCTAACACTGCCTTCCCAGGGCACTTTGCGGATTGCTAATATCTTCTATGTTAATACCACAGATGGAAATTTAAATGGCATGAAATGTAGTGCCATGTCTGTATGACTACGTTTTCAACCAGCGTACTCTTCTTCCGTAGTAATGGTAAGGTTCAAAGGGTGAAAATTCAAAGTGGGCAGNCGCCTGAGGATTTCCTGATGCATAAACCCAAGGGCGCGCTTCCGTATTGCAGCTATGCGACGTACATTGCCGGTGACATACATATGCTGTCCAACACGTACGAAACACAGATTTCGAAGAAAAAAACTGGTACAACGACTACAGTTGTAGAACATCTCTCCCGGTCCAAATTACTGTTTATTGATAAGCTGTACAATATTCGCTTGCAGTCCGGATACCAAGAAAAAGCATCCAACAATAAATAGAAACAGATTATGCATGACGAACCATATTAACTTTATCACAGAGTCAGATTTGGATCGAACCGGATAAAATACTATCACATCGATCACTGAAGGGATAATCAATGATAAAAGCATTCCTGCTGTGATACCAACAAATGGTATAATCTCGTTGAGATTCGGAATGGCAATAGCCCATAGCACTGAAATTTTTTCATTGCCAAATGTCACAGGCTAGTCCAGATTCAATACTCCTGAGCCTTGCGAAGTTGAAAAAGGTGGATTTTCGAGATTTTGTGCTTGATCTAGGGATTATGAAGGCTTGTGCAGTAGCCATAGAACTCACTTGCAAAACAAACGACTCCGATACGGAAAAGATATTCGAGTAGAGATATTGTAATAGTTTGATACGCCCGTAGCACCAGCTTTTCTTTTATTTTCGGCCATAACATCTCAATGATGACGTACAGTTGTAGGACGTTACCAAAGAATACCACAAAGATCAGAAGGAATTTGACGACAACATTTACACTGAAATAAAAAATTCGAGTTATGAGTTCGGTTGGTGCGTAGAGGCCTGAATAGTAGTCGAACTTATGTTCTTCACCACCACAGGCATCGAGTGAAGGCACCCAAACCCTACCGTACCCAGGAATAGGTAATGCACTCACGTAGAATCCGGTAAGTTCAGCGTTACACTACCCTGTACTGCATTACCAAATGTGATATACCCGTAGAATCCACAGTAGGAATAGATGATTGTGACGAGACTCATACCTGAACAGTTAATTCCACTACCATAATAGTAATGAATTATCAGCTTAGGGTTTATTTCAGAATGAGTTCCAAACCACGAGTTCAGGATTTTCGGATGCGTTGCCTATACTTCGCGCTATCAGCCCTCAGCGTTCCTTCTCGTTCCTTTTTGGCTATCATAGATTATGCACTTTTACCTCAAAGCTTGACAAAAATCACTACTCAACAGAACAATACACTCTTGACAAATAATCTTTTTTTAATGTAGGCGTAACATTCATAATAGCTGGCATCAAAGTCTCATTTCGCCTCAACAATAGGGGAAAACGATCAATCCCGATTGAGAAATAATAAAAGGAATCACCTGTAGTAAGTACACCTGTCCATCCAAGCATATCTTGAGGATGCTTTAGTTTGTTCTCCAATGGAAGAACCTGAAAATGGTAGATTTTATGAAAACTCTGGAAATAGAATTTTGAAAAGGCTCTGTCCAGGGACAATGATTAAAAGTAGCGATCAGGGTACCTACACGTAAAGTTTTCAGATCATAACATTTCTCTCGAATTCTCCTTTAGTGATGGGCTCATCTACACATTTCTTTTCGACATTGCAGTGCTTGTGGAAGCATCGTGGGTGTGGTGTAGTGGCAAGTGGGGTACTATCACACATGCATGAGCCGGGAATCGCATCGCAAGATAAGCTACATTCAGAAACGTTCTAGGCGTACCATAGCTTGTCCCTCGAACGAATAGAGCAGTGAACCGGCTGATGCAACAACTCCATCAAAGCTGGTTACCCATGGGAGTTCTTTCCAGTGATGTTCGGAGGTGAATAGCTCCTGTAAATTCAACACAACTACTATGGATTAAACAGTAGAGCATCGTTATTTAACCTTTCATTTGTAATAAAAATCAACAAAAATTTTAAAGAACAATTACTTCGAGTATCAGCGCTATCGATGCAAAAATAAAGATGTTCCCAATCGTACAAACAATCGTCACTGCACGTATCGAACGTACAAAGTTGATTAATATTGTGGGAATAGTGTATAGCAGGAGTAGCTCTTTGATTGTCAAATTAGTGCCAACATCGAAGTGTTGAAGAATCTGGAAAATATTTTCTAGGTAGTTGGTGAAGATACTAATAATTCTGAATTCCAGCCCCTACTGTAAATGAAAAATTCTGTGACCGCTCAATCAATGCAAATATTTTGTACATCCCTAGCTCACAAACAGATAAGATAAAATATGTTTCGTTGTACATCGATCTAGTCAGTGGAATGCGCCATGTATTCGGCCTTCGTTGAGAATAGTAGCGGAATGCATATACGGCGTGTATCCACCATGAGTAGCCGATGTTCAAGTCAGTGTTCTGTCCTCTAAGATTAGCCTGATACCAATAAGAAGACCCCGGAGAATGGAAGGATGTTGAACTGGGAAAGTATCCATCCAAAGCTCGATCTCAGGGCCATGCTTTTGCCCCTACCCCATCTGTATCATGCCTTATCAACAAGCCTTGTTCTTTTAGGCATACCATCCAAAATAGGCAAGATAAAGTGATAAAAAAGCAAAAAAAGCAGGCTTATAAGACCCCATTCTTGCAGTTATCTTGAATTCATTCCCACAAATCCTTCAGACCTCCTCCAGCTCCTCCAACTCGT